TCAAATTTTGTTTACATTCTTATAATTTGACATAATCAATTCTCAAATGTACTATAGTATAATATATACACTACATCTAATATCACTAATATGTGTTTGTACACATATACAATACTGCACTATGTGTGGTCATCGTTTAATTTGAAACCAATAAGAGTAAGAGTCAGTTCTGTCATGAGATATGATTATGTAATGGAGGGTACACTATGTAGCATTGAAAGACAATGAGGCCAATGTATGATGCTTTAAATGCATAATGGAGACCATTTCTTGTACATGTACATTGTACTTCTTAAAAGCTTTCGTTAAAGAATTAAGACAGATGTAATGACTACATATTGGGACAATTTGATATAAGGTACACATAGAAAGGCGGGACAAAGTGGTTTACTTAATGACAGTGCATTGTCAGGCATTTTATGTCCAGTGTACCTAATCAGCTCATAGTTGGCAGTTGGCATGTAGTTATACTAATAATTCTTCTCACAGATACAGACACGTCCTGTCTTCCCATTTTGATTTGATTGTAAAAGTTGTGAAATGGGACACTTGCCATTGTCAGACAGCTATAGAGTAAATGGAAGATGGTTGATGTCATAGTACAGTAGTATTACTATAACCATTAGTATTTATTGACATACTGTTATCATTATTAATTATTTTGTTACAATTAACGCAGGCTGCCACAAAGAAACAGAAGTATGAAAAGATTAGCGAGAAGAAGCTCTCTACTCCCATTGAAATTCTTTGCAAGGTACAGTACTAGTATACATGTATGTACATGTACATGTAGGTGGTTATGTGATAGTCTTCCATTTCCTATTCATTAAGCTTGTACGTGTACTTCCAACTGGTGAGATTTCCTTGCTCTTCCAATTCATCAAGACTTTTATTATGTTATCTGTGGCCTCTCCCTCAACATGTTTTGTCTAAATGTGCTTCATTGGCTCTTATTATGACTGTCATGGCAGCTATGGGTAGCTTTATAAACCAAAGCGGCCCTTAGTTGTGACACAGTTTAGTTGTGAACACGAACACATGAATAGACTTTGATTCTCTCCTCTAGTCCTCTCATTCGTTCTTATAGGGTTTTCCAGCTGAATTTGCCATGTATTTAAATTACTGCCGCGGTCTTAGATTCGAGGAGTCACCCGACTACATGTATCTCCGCCAGTTGTTCCGTATCTTATTTCGCACTCTCAATCATCAGTATGACTACACCTTTGACTGGACTCTCTTAAAACAGAAAGCAGCTGCTTCAACTAGCTCAAGCAGTACCGTACCTGCAGGACCCACCGCAATAGGTAATCCATTGTACCATCTATCAGATCCTCTGATTCATTGTATCTATTCTTGTTTCGTTAGATGATAAGCGTGATGATAAACGTGATGATGGTCATGGAATGGGTGGAAGGCTGCATGGTGGTGTGCCAGGACCAAAGAAGAGGTAAGCCACACTGCCCTACTGCTACATGTGTTTCATCTATTCACTTGATTTTTAGGTAAAGTTTTAAAGAGTAATTTCATCTTCTCTTTCTCTCTCTCTATGTTTCTCTCTAAACTGAAATCTTTTTGTGCAATTCTTCCTCTTCCTTCTTCTGTTACTTATGACTCTCTCGTTGTCTTTTTGATGTCTTTGTCTTCACATGATTAACTTATTTATTGCGCATTATAAGAGATACTACTTTGTGTATGAAATCTTGTTTGTTTGTCTGTTATCATTATTTTCGTTTATTATAAATAGTAATAACAATAAAACTTGCTCTGTAATCATAAAGCAGCCAAACTGGTTGTAAACAGCCCAAGAAAGTAGCCAAACAGAGTAATGTCACTAATGCTTCCATCAAGAGTAGATAATATTCTGGCGTGCATTTTTAAATTCTATTGCAATAACTATTGATCAGTTTTAGCTTGTAGTATAATTACAAATATTAAATAATATACATACAATAGACAGTCAAACAGTATCAGTAGCAGTTACTGGCTCAGATGAGCTGTCATTTTCTTTTGATAAAGAATCCAGAATAGTCAAGTAGCCTTTGTGCTCACAGAAACTCTACTTGAACAAAAGATATGCATCAAATTGTTATGCATATCAAAATATTTATGGGCAATTTTGGCAGTGAATTATTATTGGCGAAAATGCCAAATTAAAACTTGCCCATACTAGTGTCATGTAGTAAGACATGACAAAACTGAGCATGGAAATCAATCAAATTGTGATAATTTTTGCCAATTTTCTCACCACGACTATAAAGGGTATTAATGAATCAGCAATCAACCAGCTAGAGGTACTAAATGAAACCAATTCACACTAACTTATTCACACTATTATTTCACAAGGAAACACTCCACACTTATAACAACCCATGATGAGTTTGAAGCAGTAAATACATATACAGTACAGTAAAAGAAAACCTCTATAAAAAGGACACTTTAATACACTTTAAGAACACGTATGATGTTCTTTCTATAGAGGCTCATTTATAAAGTAAACTATCATTTGGGGAATGTCTTTTCCCTTTAAAAGGGGAAGGTTACACTGCATTATGATGTACCTTAACCATTTCTTCTCCGGTTAGTTCTTGTATAGATTCAGTTGCTGTATCAGGATGAACCAGACAATATAATTTAACCAATATCTCAACATCTCCTAATCTAAATAACAAAACAATAACAACAATAAAAATATTATTATCATTATTAGTAGGTTCACTTTACTTCTCTTTGCTGACTAAAAAGCCGATCAAACCCAGGAGCTTATCCTTCTGGACCAGATACCATATCAATCCGCCATAATGCTTTGTAGAGTAGAGTTCGGAATAAAGTCCCTGACTTCGTACATACTCGTAAGCAGTTTCCTGTACTCTAATGTAATCAGGTGAATCAGGTGGACACTGAGCACACACAAGATCAAGAATGTGCAGTACGTTTACTCTCTTTAAAGCGTAAGGTAGCTCCTCTTTCGTAAGGAGTGTTGGTAGCCATATCTTCCTTCCGGGGGCTGGCATGTAGGTCTGGCAGAGCCGGTCCCTTTCAAAAGCAGTCGCTTGTCTAAGGGTACCGGAAGGCTCACGAACTACGATATAACGATCCTTAGGAGGGACAAAAGAGATTGTTAGAAAATAGCTACGGTACACTGTACATGTAGTTCCAAATTTTCATCGTTAAAAATTTTTTATCAATTTTGACATCGGATTATAGTATACGAATCATAAATTGCATAAAAAAAGAATTTTCGACTCAAAAAACCTAAAGCTACACACATACAAGTACATAACATACCTTGTCCTCTATTCCCATAGAAATGTCAGTAAAAACCCATTTAGAATCATCAAAGTCTTTTAATTTAGGGTCCGTCGATATCTCCTCTCCTAGGTCCTTTCTCTGCTCTACAACTGGTGGAGGTTTTAATCGCTCTTCGCAACGTTTCATTGTATCAAAATATGCCTAAAGGAAGAGGCGGTGCTTTAAATATTAATATTCAATTATTAATAATTAAATTCAAGGATCCTTCTATTTTTACCAGCCACACCCACTACTCCAAACCTTTTCGAAAGCAGTAAATTACAAAAATGCACTGACCTTCTTCACCATCTCCCGATTCATGAGTTTAAACTTTGGTAAAGATGCCTCGCCTTTCCTCAGGGAGAATACTTTGTTGAAATCTCTTCCGTTCAACAATGATATATAATTTTGGACTCTTTCATCATCAAATCTGACTGAGCTTTGAGGTCCCTCGCTGCAGTAGCTCCTTACAAAAAGAAAAGATAATCTTCTTGTTGCCATTTGGGCCCACATGTTAATGGGTGGGTCAGACCACACCCAAAATTATTTGGGCGTGTCCCCACAGATTTATTCATTTTCTAGTCTCCCACTCTTTTGAGTCTTTTTGCAAGACGCTCTCTCTCCCTCTGTTCTTTTCTTTCTCCTCCGTAGCTGCTAATGGGAGGTCATGGTATTAAACAAGTCCATTAAAGTTTCTAAAAGATGGCGCCCGAAGAGAAGCGTCTTACTGGAATCCAAACACATTCCAGAGGAAGCTATTCTCTTTGAATCCGGATCACTCGCTCTACTCAGTAAGAACTAAAGACGAGTAGTACATTGACACTAGCTCTTTCATATTATGCACTGTCAATGAATCCTTCTTTTTGTCTGTTAGGATCATCAGAGGCTGATCTCATTAGGAAGGAATACCCCGACATCAATACAGCTTATGCTTTGCTAGGCGTCCTCCAAGTTGGCCAATCTCTTAGCTACATAGTCCTAGTGACCGGCTGCAATCAAGTGGGACGCATATCGAACACCGAAGTCTACCAGATCACTTCTACGGTCATGGTCCCCCTCCACTCCAATCCTTCTGTTCATGAAGGTGTCGTTGCAATGGGGAAGTTACTCGCTTCGGGTCAGTTTTATTTCTCTGTCTCTGTCGATGAGAGACAAAACGGCGGGTTGTTCTCTTTGCTTTCCCGGAGTCAGAACAGAGGAGGGACTACGTCACAGTTCTGTTGGTATGTGTCTAACAGGATATTGAATGAAATGGTTGCTTGGAACTACACATGTACAGGAGTGTGGCATTGAGAAATAAGAGCATAACATGTTGACACATTATTAATAATTATGTGTATTTACAATATCATGCACCGTATAATGTACACATCTACAACATGTGCGGTGTTAGGTAACATGTGCATAATGTACTTGTCATATGTACACCACTGGGCCTGAGAGTTTCATTTGTTATGCCAACATAGATCAGTTTGCATGCACAGAAGGTCATGATGTATGCTAAACACACCGAGTATCATTATACAACAGCTGGAACAGTGCAATCTTAATTTCAAAATGCATTAGATCCATATACACATTATCATTACTTTTATTATTATTCATAGGAATCGTAGCCTATACGTATATTTGCAGAGATTTGCTGTCAACACTGATAGATGGGTGACCCCTCTTATGTGTGGCAGTGTACAGATACAGACCGTCTATGCTGGGGACAAGCAAGTGAAGGCCTGTCTGATATCAAGAGTCTCTTGTGAAAGAGCAGGAACCAGGTAACATTGACTACTTTGCCCTAATAACATACTGATACTGTATCATTTTGATATATTTTGGTTGATTGCTTTTCTAAAAAAGGTTTGGTGATTAAAATTATTTTAACCACCATAACTGTGTACGTTGTACATGTACATGTACATGTACATGTATGTAATCCTCTGCTTTCATTATGTGCTTCAGTGATTGTACGTTTATATGGCTTTCTCTCTGTTTGTGTTCATCCTTTTGATCAGATTTAATGTGAGAGGGCTCAATGATGAAGGCAATGTTGCCAACTTTGTGGAGACAGAGCAGGTCCTCTCTATCGATAAAGCCATCGCTTCGTTTGTTCAAGTTAGAGGACTAGTCCCTGTGTTCTGGGACCAACCGGGAATACAAACTGGTACTAACAGGATCAGACTATCAAGAGGGTTTCATTGCTCACACGCTGCATTTGTGAGGTAAAGGGAGAGAGAGAAAGAGAGGGAGTTAGAGAGAGAGGGGGGAGAGAGAGAGAGAGGGAGGGAGTAGTCGAGTACTACTTTATGATACTAGAGAGAAGGTTAAGAGGATGTGTGTCATAGTAAGAGCTTGGCTTCATTACAATTTGTATCAATGTGTGTAGTAGTACATGTACATGTACATACATGTACATGTAGATTAACCATTTTTATTATTTTCTTTTAGACATTTTGAGAGTCTGCTAAGCCAGTATGGCCCATGTCTCTGCGTTGATTTATTAGGCAATCGTGACATGGAGCCCCTCCTCACTGAGGCCTATGTCGATCACTTGAGAAACCTCGAGGAAGAAGTACCAGGAGCAGCCGAATACGTCCAGTTTGACTATCATGGCCACTGTCGACCGAAACATAACGAAGCATTGGAGACTATACTGCTGCCAATGTGTTCAAGATTTATTGATACTTGTTCCTATTACCTGGAGACAGATGGGGAGGTGGTGAGTGCTCAGACTGGAGTCCTGAGGGTGAACTGTCTTGACTGTTTGGATAGATCAAATAATTCTCAAGCCATGTTTGGGCAACAGGTAATTTGACACAATGTCTTGATTGCACAATTTCAATGTACACGTACATTTACTGTATTATTAACTGTATTACATTTGCATGTGCTATACATGTACAGTACATGTACTGTGTGTGGTGTTATGTCTCTCTTGTTTTAACCAGTTGTTAGTACAGCAGTTGGATGGGCTTAAGCTGTCTTCAAAGGTAAACGTTCTCTCTCGTTTCAAGCAAATATTTGAGAGATTCTGGATGCAAAATGGAGACAACATAAGCAAGCTATACGCAGGCACAAGAGCACTGGGCAGCTCTTCAAAAGTAATACCTGATGACTTTACACACTTGTACATGCACAGTACTAATTCTTTGTTTATTTTAATTATTGTATTATTTGTTCATACTGCATATGCATGTGTACATGTACATGTACATGTATTATTTTTAAATTTTATTTTTATTTTTAAGGTTAGCAAGTTGCGTAACAGCGCTCGCTCTGTTCAGAGAACAATTGTTAATAATTTCATGGACAGCAGCAAACAGGAGGCCATTGATCTGCTCCTCCTCAATGGGTACGTTGGAGAGATTGGGATACAAACTAGGAACCTACTAAAACCTGCTGACCTCCTTGGTAAGACATTAACACCATTACAATGAGCTTTATGTGTTTATGACAGCATAGTACAATAGTATTATTTCTGATACGTATTGATGTCCTTATGCTACATGTACAGTATGTGGAAAGTTTGAGCTGATTCCAACTTCAATTTTCCAAGTTACGGCCATTTTAAGAAAACGTCAAAATTCTGAAAAATACCCAAGGCTATAGCCCATGGTTTTTTCCAAAAAATGGCTCCGAAATCACCCCAAATTTTTATTACATTTTCTGATACATACTGATATTTTTATGCTATGTAGCAAGTTTGAGGTGATTCCGACTTCAATTTTTCAAGTTACGGCCATTTTAAGAATACGTCAAAATTCTGAAAAATACCCAAGGCTATAGCCCAGTTGAAAAGGGAACAGAGCCCTCAAAAAATTTATTATGAAAAAGGGTAGAAATAAACATGTAGGTTAAGGAAAGGAATATAAGGAAGAAAACAAAGAACAGGTTAAAGATTGGTTAAGGTAAAGAAAGATACACAAAGTGATAAGGAAAAATAATAATAATAATAATAGTAATAATAATAATAATAATAATAATAATAATATTGATAATAATAATGATAATGATAATAATAATAATAGAATAAAAATAAAAAAAGGAATAAATCTAAGAAATACCAATGTGGGCATCAGAGGCCACTCTGTCAAAATCTGAATAGTCAACAGGTTTTTTCCAAAAAATGACCCCGAAATTACCCCAAACTTTTATTACATTTTCTGATACGTATTGATGTCCTTATGCTATGTAGCAAGTTTGAGCTGATTCTGACTTCAATTTTTCAAGTTACGGCCATTTTAAGAATATGTCAAAATTCTGAAAAATACCCAAGGCTATAGCCCATGGTATTTTTCAAAAAATGGCTCTGGAATCATCGCAGATTTTTATTGCATTTTCTCATACATGTATACAGTAGATGTATATTGTACATGTACATGTGCATTTGTATGGTGATTATTATAATCATTTCTCTTCTTTCATGCTAGCATCGTTACCGTTACGTAAATCACTAACAGAAAGATGGCAGGAGTACACTAGTACAGAGAAGCTTCGTGTTTGTGTTGGTACTTGGAACGTCAATGGAGGAAAGCAAATGAGGAGCATAGCACTCAAGAAAGAGTCCATGCATGACTGGCTCTTGGATGCACCTGTGCTATCAGGAAAAAAAGTAAGACGGCAACAATAGCATTATTGTATAATTAATTAATAATTAATATTAATATTAATATTTATATTTATTAATATAATAATTATTAATATTTTATTGTTTTGTTATGTGAATAGTCCATACCGCCTGCTGATGTTTATGCTATCGGGTTTCAAGAACTAGTTGCACTCACGACTTCAAATCTTGTATCAACAAAGTAAGAGAAACAGTGAGAGAAGGAATGGTAATTCTAATGATAAAAAACTTTGCTATATTGTACATGTACATGTACAGTACATGTATATTTATTACATGTAATACATCAATACATTTTGTTTCTATTAGTTCATCAAATCGTTATGCTTGGGCGGCAGAGCTACAGCACGTCCTCTCACGTGATCATGAATATTCGTTACTGACTGCCGAGCAACTAGTGGGCGTGTGCTTGTACATATTTGTGAGGCCACACCTCATTCCTTTCATTCGGTGAGTGACATAAAACCACACCCACTAATTAATATATTTTTAGCGATGTGGGCGTGTCTGCCGTCAAGACTGGTATAGGGGGTGCAGCTGGTAATAAAGGAGGCGTGGCTATACGACTATTACTCCACAGTACCTCACTCTGCTTCGTGTGCAGCCATTTAGCTGCCCATCAAACTAAAATAGTTGAGCGTAATCAGGACTTTGCTGAGATACATCGTAAAGTGCTGTTCCCAATGGTAAGACAAAGAAAGAGTAGTACATGTACATGTACATGTGTACATGTACATGTACATGTAATATGCATGTACATGTAGATGTATATTAAATATTTTGTACACATGCAAGATCTATTGTATTATTTACAATTTTTATTATTATTATAATGTATTTCTTGTTATTTAGAATCAAACTATCAGTAGTCATGATTATGTGTTTTGGTGCGGTGATCTAAACTATCGGATTGATCTTCCATCAAGTATTGCTAAAGATGCCATCAGTAAAGAAGAATGGGACAAACTTGTGAGACACGATCAACTAACAAAGCAAAAGAAGCTTGGAAAAGTATGAAATTAATAGTAACAATAATATGAGCAATTATTGTACATTGTAGGTGTTTTTTGGTTTTGCTGAAGGAGACCTAACGTTTGCTCCAACATACAAATACGATCAGTTCAGTGATGATTATGATACTAGTGAAAAGTGTCGTGTCCCGGCCTGGTGTGACAGGATACTCTGGCAAAGGAAGTCGTTCCTCCCTCCAGTGACTGACCAGAGAGCCATAGCAAGACTAAGAGATGATGAACCTGATAATGATTTAGGTAACAGCGATACATGTACATGCACGGACTTCGACTCATTATAATTGTTTTTGATTGTTTAGAGGAAAGCGATTGTCACCCAAGCTCCGTCGGTAAAGTATACAAGAGAGAGTTAACTAGCGGACACCAGTCCCTCTCCTGGTGGAACCCTGGCCGACTCCTTTACTATGGAAGAGGAGAGCTAAAGACGTCTGATCACAGACCTGTCATAGCTTACTTTGAGATTGATGTATTTAGGATAAACGAGAAAGAGAGAGAGAGAGTAAGGGGGACAGTTTTAGAAGACATGGGTCCAGCTGATGCTACAGTTAGGGTGAAGCCTTTGTCAGCGGACTATAATTCAATAGACACTAAACAACTTGTGAAGGCTTTGAATGAATACGGGACTATTGTATTAGTTAGGTAAGAATATTTAATTACTGTGTACATGTGTATCTACAGTCAATAGTACCTTGTATTAATTATCTCTTGTTTTTTTTAGAGTCACTGATGAGGAAACTTGTGTGACTTTCCACTCAGCAAAGTCAGCAATTGATGCTGTTTCATTCAATGGACAGGAGGTAAAGCAACTGCCATCATATGACAGTACATGTACATGTACATGTACGTACTGTGTGTCTATGTAGGTCAATGGTGTAGCGGTTGAAGTTAAACTCAGTGAAGTGAGTATGACTGACTGGACCGGAAATAGCCTCCAGTTGTTGACAGCTGCTGAATTAGATACTGAAAACGGTGAAGCTGACGAAATAGGAGGAGAGGAAGTTTTGATTTTCTCAGGAGATGAAAGTATGCAAATACAGTATTTGTAGAATATTTTAATTTCTTTTTCTTATTCAGACGATCAAAAGATACCAATAGATGAAGAATGCGAGGCTGGGGGTCTGGAGCCTAGTGATTTTAATGAAAAGGGTCTTGAACAGGATGATAATGGATATGAAGACGACGAAGGTCTTGTGATGCAAGGTTTAGAACCACCTAAAGCTTGTGGTCTAGAAGACTCTGATCAGTATGAGCATAATTCTGATTCCAGTGATGATCAGTCTCCGCCAACAATACATGTTGATTCATGTGATACCAATCACGCTGATATTGATCCCATTCCTCCGTTAGTTAGGCCGACACGCCCACCTCGACCTCCACCAATGAAATCATCGACCAGTTCGCCAGTCATCTCACGAAAGCCTATTGTAAAAGGAGGAGGAGCTCCAACACGCCCACTACCTCCCTCGGCTAAACCTCGTAGTGCTTCAGAAATATCTTCACAGAAAGTTCTTCCTCCAAGTCGGCCTCCTCCTCCTTCCCGCCCACCTGTTCCTGATCGACCAGTCCCTCCATCAGTTCCCAGTCGCCCTTTGATACCAAGCCGTCCCCCTCCTCCATCAGTGCCTCCTCGCCCTCAAGTCCCAGATCGACCCCCTCCACCTTATGTGTCACTCTATCCTCAAGGACATGAGAATGATGAACAGTGATGATCAGTTAGTCTATGCTATTACTTGTTATTTATTATTATACATGGTTATTTATTATGTGTGTAGATTCTGTTAAAATTGCCTCATTGTTTTGGCTATAGATTTGCTTTTTATTTCATTTCCGATAAATTTCGTTGCCAAATTGAAACTGTTTACTTTATAATAAGAAAGAGAGAGAGAGGGGCAGAGAAGATGAAATACACGTCCTTGCTATTTCTCTTCTTCTTTCGACTCCAGTTTCTACATGGAGTGGAACAGAAATGGTCTCATGTTGTCTGCATTGATGAATCAACCGGAAATACCTCTTTTCATGATACTGATGACCCTGTTACCTGCAACAGCAATATTGCAAATACTAGCTTGACACAGACATTATTTAACAGCCTAACAAATGGGACACTGCTCTACATAAAAGCAAGCAAATTGAGCATGAGTGAGAGTCTTTCTTTATCATACAAGGATCAAATAGGACTCCATTCAAAGCTGAATAATACCATCATTACTTGCGAGTCCATACCACTTGGAGTTAACCACACAGGCTACGGTATAAAATTTATTCGTGTTAGTTCTTTATCGCTGAGAGGTTTGTCATTTCTCAATTGTGGTGCACTCCAAAGCAGCACAAGCGTCAATACAAGCACCTCAAACCATCCTCAGCTGTTTCGATCTGCTCTCTATCTCCTTAACTGCACAGACATTGATCTTAGCTATGTAAGAATTGTTAGCAGTATAGGAACTGGACTCACTCTCTTTGACTGCAATGGAGTCGTGAACATAACAAATTGTGAATTTAAAGATAACGCAGTAAGCAAGAAAGAGTCATTCTCAGGAGGTAATGGTGTATACATTGAATTCACTTATTGCTCTCCGGATTGGTTTGCGCTGTGCACATCGGACGAAGCTGCAAAAAGAACCAATAACATTAACAGTCATTACTCCATAAGAGATACGAGGTTTATTGGTAACAATGCATCCAGGCTTATGACAAATAGTCACCTAAGGATAAATAATGGAGGTAAGAGTTTCAGAGGGATGGGGAAAGGTGGAGGAGGACTAAGTGTTTTTCTCAGGGGAAATGCAAAATATAACGTTTTTTATTTGGAAAATTTAAATTTTACGTCTAACAATGCGTACAACTACGGAGGAGGGCTTTACCTTCACTTTCAAGATTCATCAAACAACAACACAGTCTTCCTCTCTGGGAGTTATTTTCATGATAACAGAGCTGAACAGAGTGGTGGAGCAATAAACATTGGGTTCTATTTCCCAATGCAAACTCATGAAGCCCCACCAAGAAACAATGCAATAGAGATATCTGGTACTCTCTTTGAAAGAAATTCTGCAGAAGTTGGAGGCGGTGTACTTCTGTTCTCCAGCAGCAACGAGGAATCCCTTAACAACTCTTTTAAATTTATAGATTGCATTTGGAGGGAGAACGAAGGAATGTCAGGTTCAGCTGTAATGTGCAGTGTTATTGAGTACCTTCCCACAACTAATAGCATTCTGCCAGAGCCTCTGTTCATTGATTGCTTATTTGAGTATAATCATATTAAGCAGAGTCTTATGGAATTCAGCTATAACGAGCCAGCTTTGGAGCAGACTCAGAGAGGCTCTGGAACAATATACATGAAACTATTCACTCTTCATTTTGGGGGCAATACTCAATTCATGCACAACAATGGTACGGCAATTTATGCTGTGAATAGCATTATCAAGATAGCTAATGACACTGATATTAGCTTCTTTTCCAACAGAGGGAATTACGGTGGGGCTATCGCACTGGTTGGTTTATCAAGTATACAAGTGGGAATAAGTGTAAGTTTCAATTTCACATCAAACAATGCCCTCAATGATGGTGGCGCTATTAACGATTATTCAATCGATAAATTATCTTCGCATCAGTTTGGTCTCTGTTTCATCGAGTACACTTATCCTCCTCCATGTAATTCTGACGAAGGAAAGGCAACTTTTGTATTTGAGGACAATCGATCAATGAAAAATTCTGGTAATTCAATTTATTCTTCTTCGCTCCAGCCATGTAGCCTTCTCTGTTGTTCCAGCAGCAGCATGACAACACTGTCGCCTGAAAAAATTTTAAAATGCATTGGTATTTCTTTTAATGGGAGCAGGTTCTCATATCATGTAGCGACGGAAGGAACTTCATTTGATTATAACAACAAATCAAGTATTTACTATATTCCAGGAAAAGCTTTCAAGCTCCCGGTTGTGATGGTCGATGAGGTTGGTAGCCGCCTCAAAACTGTCCCTCTAAGAGGAATGATACTAAACAATGATGAGAACGATGGAGATATCTGTAGACTTGAGCACTTGTACACATATAACTATCACTTTACTTTGTTTGGAAGACCAGAAAGGAATGTCACTCTAGCTGTTGGAACATATTTTTTTAGGAACATAAGTTTCAAGATGGAGCTCACCCTCTCTAATTGTCCCCCGGGGTTCAATTATGATAATGGAACTTGCAAATGTTCCATCTCAAATGGCAGTTGGAGCTACATTGGGATTTATGCATGCGACAACACGGCATTCTCTGCACTTGCCTATATAGGATACTGGGTTGGATACATACCAGTTAACGATACACGCCCCGAGTCACTGATCACCACCACATGTCCATTGGGATACTGTGACACTGGGAATGGAACTGAGATCCACCTTCCATCAAATCCCTCTAGTACTGAACTGGATGTCATCATGTGTAGGAGCAGAAATAGAACTGGGATTATATGTGGGAGCTGTATTGAAGGACACTCTGTCTATTATCACTCATACACTTATAGATGTGGCCCAGACACATATTGCCATCTTGGAGTATTGTTTTACATTCTCTCAGAGATTCTGCCTCTTACCATAATATTCTCAATAGTGATAATGTTTAGGCTCAATTTCACGTCAGGTTATCTTAATGGCTACGTTCTCTTTGCTCAGATGCTTGACTCGCTCTCCCTTGAGGCAAATGGTGCAGTTTTAATAGAACAAGAAAACCAGAAGAGGGCATTGGAAGTATTGCACATTCTCTACAGTCCTTTTAACTTTGATTTTTTCACAATAGAGCCACTCTCTTTCTGCTTCTCCAAAGGATGGACTTTTCTCCAAGTGACTAGCATTAAATTTCTGACACTTACTATTGCATTGATGCTAGTGATACTACTAGTGGTAATAATGAGGTGCAGTTGCTGCTACAAGATACAGCTGCTCTGTTTCAAATCCAAAATTACCAACTCTGCCTCGCTCATACAAGGTCTTTCAGCTTTCCTAGTCCTTTCGTACGGTCTTTGCTGTAACTCTTGTTACAAGATACTCAATATAGCAATGCCCAATGGTATGGGTCATAGGGGACATGCTGCAAGAGTATTTCGAATGGGAAACCTTGAGTATTTGAGCAACGAACACTTACCATATGCTCTTCTTGCAATGTTCTTTTTCGTTGCAATGGTAGTTGGCCCAACATTATTTCTTCTCCTTCAGCCTCTTGGCTATAAGTTTCTCCCGGAAAAGGTACTCAACTATGCCAAGACTCGGTGGGTTTTCAAAAGGATAGAACTCGCCTCTCCATTCCTTGACACATTCCAGGGTTGCTTTAAAGATAGATACCGGTTCTTTGCAGGTCTTTACCTCATATATCGCTCTGTAGCTAGTGGTACCTTTGCCCTGTACAACAGTAGGTTTGAGGTATATTTGGTAACAGAGGTTATTCTGGTTTTCATGCTTGCCTTGCATGCTTGGGTGCAGCCGTACAAGAAAAAACTTCATAATCACATTGATACGGGGATATTCCTCATAATGGTCATTGTGAATACACTAACAATGTACCGCTATCACGAAACTCAGGTGCAAACCAGATCAACAAGTTTAGAGATTGTAACTGATTTCCAGCTGTTTCTGGTTTACGTTCCAGCAACTTGCCTGGCCTTTGCACTCCTTTTTTATACACTTTATGGCTGCTTGAATCTGCTCAAGAAACATGGCTACTGGAAGAGCAACGGCGAAGATGATTCACTGCCTGACTTGCTAGTGTCACGTGAAATACGAACTAGGAGATGGACTTTGCGCCGACCATCATTTACAACTTTCACTCCAAAGAAACCAGAGGAGCTTGTGCTTAAGTATGACAGTTTGACTGATTTCTCGTGTGAAAGAAGCACAATCAAGATAAACACGACCAAGAGTACACAATAATACTCTTGACACTATCCTATCAGAAAAACAAACCATTTTTCTGTGTGTCTTTTGTGTGTGTGTGGAAAAATATAGCTTTTGTACTGTTCTTATTTGTTTGAATTTAGTTAAAATAGCATTTCAGCTCAATTAGCTTGCAACAGGTAGCAGGTAGCAGGTAGCATAGTAGTTATCTGTTTAATAATGTGCATGTGTAGCTAAAGGTATTTGTTGGTGGATTTTGCTTCAATGAGTGACATCATTGGGAAAGTGTCTGGACCTTCACCAATAATACAATCATCACCGTGAATGTGTGCCTCTTCAATGTAACTAACTGCCTTCTTAACAATGCTAGGATATTTAGAGGATACATCAGTCTCTTCTCCTAGGTCATTACTGAGGTCATACAACTCTACAGCTTCCTTCTCATCATACCTATATATATACACAAGTATTGTAATGATGTCACTGTTTAACAATAAATCATGCAAAATCTAACCTCACTGCCTTCCAGTTGTCGAAGCGTACAGCTTGTCCATATCCTTTATGATCTTCATTAGGATGACAATACTCATGATAGTTGTATCTATTGTATAGTCAATGAGATATGAACTCATTTTAAAGTATAACTGCATCACTTGCATGGTCAGTCAGTAACTGGTGACTCACTTTGGTTGGTCTTGTTGCTTTCCTTGCAGTGTTGGTACTAGAGAGTATCCATCAAGGTTAGTTGGTAGAAGTGATGGATCAACATTAGCAATATCTGCCTTTAATTTAAAAAACATACTTGTAATTAAAAAAACACACATTACTGTTAACACTTTAAGATGTGAGCAAGCTGTGAAACAGTTTAGCAAGCAACTTACTGCAGTTTGTAGGAAATCCCAGAATCCCCACTGTTGATTAGAAATTTTATTGGGCTCAGTAACTCCAGGCTATGTTAGGTGATACAGTTCAGTGAATGATTAGAGAGTAACTGACCCATCTAATTATTAATGGAGAGCGAACTCCACCTTCATGTAGGCTTCTTTTATAACCTCTCAATGGTCCTGAGCTTTCAAAAAACTTGTAGCTGTGGCCACTATAAAATAACAAAGCAGGAAGTCATTGGATAATGATACCACCTTGCTTACCCTTCATTGTGAGCACCATTGTCACTGGCAAAGAATACAACCTTGAAAAATAAGTGATCTAATTATCACGATGAAGTAAACTGACTGTATTCTCTTTAAGTTTTAAGCTGTCAAGTGCTTGCAAGACCTCACCCTAAAATAAGTAACACTACAAGGACAGACTGAAGCTAGCTGTCCACTTACCACATGCTTATCTTGCATTTCAACTACCGAAGCAAAGTATTTCTCAACCTATATATTAAAGTGATATTCCCATCTCATTACATGAACATACTTCTGGCCAATTGAGAGACTGGTAAGCTGGTAATATGCTTGGACCAGGAACTCCAGTTTCTGCATCCTATATAAATACATACTATTGGTAAGTTTATAATAAGTTAAGTTTATGTACAGATCCAACAGCTCCAGCATGAGGTGTTGTGAATGAGAGAAACAGGTAGAATGGTTTTGTCTGATTAGCCATGTCACTCAAGAGGTTAAGCGTCTCATTAATAAAAGCATCTAAAAATAGACACCGTATAAACCTCTACTGTTCTAAAAATAGACTGTCTATCATCGTACCTTCAGCCCATGTACAATGTTCAGTGCGAGGTGAGCCACACTTGGCATCTGATGCATTCTGGTTCTCGGGAAACATCACTTGTTTCTATATTGGCAATTACCATTGGACAGTAAATTGTATTATACTTAAATTATATTTACATCATTCCTCCAGAGGAAAGGTGGATAGTAATTATGAGCATTCTCTTGGCTGGTGTAGCCGTAGAAATGATGAAATCCTTTGTTGTTTGGTGATCCAACTGTATCAGTAGATCCTATATTCATGTATGATTATTACCAAGGTGTGATGTTGTAGCATGGATTATAATAGCTAATACAAGGTGCTTCATTAAAAATAGCGATAATATAAATCTACATTAAAATTTCTTTTCTAATACATATACATGTACTTATGCTGTGTTTTAACTTTGAACTCATTTCAAATTTATGAATTTTTGAAGTTGCTCAATTTGCTTTTTTCAAAAAATGGCTCGTTTTAAAAATGCTCATAACTTTAAAAATTGAAATCGGAATCAACTCAAACTTGCTACACAGCATAAGGGCATCAATATGCATCAGAAAATGTAATAAAAACTTGGGGTGATTTCGGAGCCATTTTTTGAAAAATACCATGGGCTATAGCCTTGGGTATATTTCAGAATTTTGATGTTTTCTTAAAATGGCTGTAACTTGAAAAATTGAAGTCGGAATCACTTCAAACTTTCTACATAGCATAAAAACATCAATATGTATCAAAAAATCTGATAAAAATTGGGGTGATTTTGGAGTCATTTTTTATAAAAAAACCATGGGCTATAGCCTTGGGTATTTTTCAGAATTTTGACATTTTCTTAAAATGGCCGTAACTTGAAAAATTGAAGTCGGAATCACCTCAAACTTGCTACATAGCATAAGGACATCAATACGTATCAGAAAATTTAATAAAAATTTGGGGTGATTTCGGAGCCATTTTTTGGAAAAAACCATGGGCTATAGCCTTGGGTATTTTTCAGAATTTTGACGGTTTCTTAAAATGGCCATAACTTGAAAAATTGAAGTCGGAATCAGCTCAAACTTGCTAGGCATTATAAAGACATTAATATGTATCAGAAAATGTAATAAAAATTTGGGGTGATTTCAGAGCCATTTTTTGGAAAAAACCATAGGCTATAGCCTTGGGTATTTTTCAGAATTTTGATGATTTCTTAAAATGGCCGTAAGTTGAAAAATTGAAGTCGGAATCACCTCAAACTTGCTACATAGCATAAGGACATCAATACATATCAGAAAATTTAATAAAAATTTAGGGTGATTTTGGAGCCATTTTTTGGAAAAAAACCATGGGCTATAGTCTTGGGTATTTTTCAGAATTTTGGCATTTTTTTAAATGGCTGTAACTTGAATAATTGAAGTCGGAATCACCTCAAACTTGCTACACAGCATAAGGGCATAAATATGTATTTTTAAATGGAATAAAAATTTGGGGTGATTCTGGAGTCATTTTTTGGAAAAAACCATAAACTATAGCCTTGAGTATTTTTTTCAGATTTTGGTCCATTTTAAAAAATGGCTATATGTAACTCAAAAATTGAATTAATCTAAACACTTACCTAGTCCCCATTTCCCAACTAATGCAGTGTAGTATCCTGCCTTTTGGAGTATTTGGGCTACAGTAACATCAGTAGAATTCAGCGTCCCACCATTAGCTCTTACAGTACAGTGACCAGTGTGACGACCAGTCATCTGAAAGGTTCATCATTATGAAACAATAGTCACAAATGTACTGTGTAGCCTCTACATAACGGACACTTTGGGCCAAGAAAGTTATGCATGTCCTTTATGTGGAGGTTATTTTATACAGTAAGAAATGTAATTGGTACACTATGTACTGTCTGTTAAATGGAGGTGTACGCTATAGAGAGTGTCCGTTATATAGAGGCTACTCTTGTACTCACTAGTGTACATCTTGAAGGAGCACAAACTGGAGCTCCTGCATAAGCATCAGTGAATCTCATGGACTCCCCAGCTAGACCTGTAATACAATAGATATTGATACATGCATTACTTGTGCAGACTAAGCTACTAACTGTTGAGGTTTGGTGTGATTAATCTTTTCTGTGGGTCGTTTGGGTTTGGATATACACCAACATCTCCATAGCCAAGGTCATCTGTGAAATAAAGTATTAAGCATTTGAGCACCAAGCATGCTTGCCTCACCTGCTAAAATGAAAAGGATGTTTGGACGGGTTTCTCCAACCACGAGGGCAACCAGCAGGAGTAAAACAAAACCAGATAAGACTTGCATGACTGCAGATCTGAGCTGACCTTACAAGGGAGGGTGGGGCTGGATTAATTAATTAATTAAGCATTTTATGCATGCATATGCAGCAATGCCACTGGGTGGGGCTGAAAAGTTTGCAAATTCATCCCCATAGTAACGGAAAGATAATAATGGAGCATGAGATTCTCCTTGCTTGTAACATCGGTGATCTTCCCTGGCTAAAAGCATCTGTTGAAGAATCAAAGAAAGAAATAAATGAAATTTACAACAATGAGGTAAGGCCCAGATGCATAGACGATACTAAACTAGTCTATTCTGCACTACAGGGCTTGACTCCACTACACTTGGCTGCTTATACCAGAAACATTCCTATACTGAAGTACCTTATCTCCAAAGAACTAGACATAAACTCCTCAACGTTGTACACTGCTAACACACCACTTCATCTAGTACTGCTGAGCTCCTCATGCAGTGTAGATAATGAAGGCCAGGCTATTAGAGACTGTGTGCAACTCTTACTGAGCCAAGGAGCTCAATGCAACAAGTAAGAAGAGATCTAACAAGAGTTAGACAGCATTGTTGATAATAGGAGGAACTCCAATGGGCAGACTGTATTGCATTTAGCAGCCAAGGCAGGGATTGTGTACATTGTTAGACTGCTCCTTGACTATGAGGCAGATTTCACTCTTAAAGTTAGCCAATGTACCATGTAACTTCTAAAATACATTTCTTGCACAGGATGATAGGAATCAAACACCTTATGACATTGCTTGTCTTTATGGCAACCACGAGTGTGCCAGGTTACTTAGGGCACTCCACTGGGCAAGAGAGAAGGATATTCATGCAAAGAGAAAGTTGCAATCAGAAAGGGAAACCCAAAGGCAAAAGGTCCTTTGCAAAACAATACAAAACCAACTACGAAAACAAGAAGCAGAAAATGCATATGATGAATGGCTTTGTAGAAATAACTTCTCTTTGCCCCCTCCTCCTCCTCCTCCTCCTCGCTCCACCAGTTGTTTATCATGTGAAACCTGTAGCTCTATCACTCAACTGGACAGCATCACTCAAATGGACAGCCTCGATACTGCAGTACAGTCAATTCATTCAAGCAATGAACCAAAGATAGCAAAAATACAAATATCGTTTAACCAAGCTGAGCACAACACCGCTCCAGTTGGAAAGCCGCACAAGCTTTATCCTTATTCGAATTATCCTCCAAAGCAGTACCGATGTCATACCAAGACAGAGGGTCATGTAGAGTCTAGAAATCAGCGTCCTTTTAGTTCTGCATCGAACCGTCGTCCATCAAAAAGAGTTGTATCTCATGTGAGGATTAAAAGTGCTCCAACTCGAATTGCAATAGGAACTGAACAAATGCAGTCTAAGTCCAAGAGCAAAATGCCACACACAAGAAAGATCATTCACAAGGCCACGAGTGTCAATGGAGAGACTTATAATGATATTAATGGTCAAACAGAAACTATGCCATCACTAATTGATACAGAAAAAAAGGAAGAGAATGTTGTAGTACTAACAGAAGAGGCACTCAAGGAAACTACAAAAGATGATGCAAATGATGAAGATGGTAGTTCAACGTCACTCGATGGACTTACCTTTCATGATGTAGGACCAGAAAATGACCTAAAATCATTAGCCAGTCCTGTTAGCAATGCTAGTGGAAGAGGAGCAGCTTCTTCTATCAATCCAGTTGAGTTTTTACGTGTACTATCAGAGTTATCATCTCAAAGAACTCACAGCCGTTCACATGGGAAATACAAACCCTCTACTTCAATAAAGTATGACAGACGGTTTAGTCTTGGCTCTATCCCCGAAGGAGAAATGGTAACTAACTATAATCAAGTCGAAGGATCTCTAGTCTTTGATGATGACTTTTTACACAACTTAATGCCTTTTGCATTTGACAGCAGTCACTTTCAAGGGACAGAAGAGCCCCCATCAGATCATGAATCACCTCCTCATACTCCTATTGAGAGATCTGCTCCATCCGTAAAATTGGCATGGGACAATAGCACACCACGAACTCCTGATAAATCCCGAGTTGTGTCTCCTGCTAATTCTATTAGAAAGTTATCGTCAAAGCCGCTAAAGAAGCCATTGGAATCATCAAACAGAACTCCACTCAAAACGTCAGTGTGTGAATTTGGCGGCAAAATCAGTTACACTCAAAATTATAAATAGTCTGTTTTAATACTAAATCTTTTTCAAAATTTTTTTGTAATGCATAACATTTTACACAACATTTAAAATAAAAATATTATTGCACAGATCAGTTATGGTCAATTTGAGTCTAAAAAGAGATACATAAAGCAAATAAGCTCTATACCTTAGTTATTCCAGTTGATATTTAGCCGACAAATAATTGGCATAGCTATAAAACCAGCCTTCATCAAAAGCCATCAGATCATCTTCAATGATAATCCTAATATCATTGAGAGACCAAACACTCTCCGCATTAGATTTGTCCTCCACTAATTTCTTAACTGACTGTATAACTGCTGGTACAATAAAGCTAGACTTAAAGGCTCCCTGCCTTCCTGAGCTCTCAGCAGGCAATGCAATGCTTTTGATAGACTTGTGGGCTAATATTTCTTTTATTGCTTTATCAATGCAGCCAGTCAGAATATCATAATGCTGACCAAGATCAAGCTCAGAGTGATTAGGTATGCGTATCAAATTCTTTGATTTATATCTAGTACTAGTGTTTGGTACTATAGCTTCAAAGGGAACTTCTTCAGATTGACTAGATGAGGAGGCCCCCAAAGACGAATCAAAGAAACTTTTCAATCGCTTGTAGCTCCCACTTAAACAATGCTTGTCTACTGGAACCACGACAACATCAACTTCTTCTTCAGCAATAGAGCCAACTCTAAGAGTCAGAGTACAATTAATGTCACCTGGAAAACGAAGTACTTGGATTTTTTCCGAAAGCTTTTCGTTCAAGAGTATCTTCGCTTGGCGATGTTCTACTGCATCAGTTGAGATAAGATCAACGCTGTCTTGACGACTCAGAGCATAACATGCTCTAAAGTTACGATTACAAGACCGAATGATTGTCTCGAGATTAGCAGCTGGGAAACGAGGTAATACCTCAAAGCTGTCCTTTTGAAGGAGAGGGAGGAGCGTCTCAAACTCAGTTAGGAACTGTTGCGTACGAGCTTCCATCTCTTCTTTGGAGTTGCCGCTAATCTTCACATACTTATCTTGTGGATAGTAACTGACTCCTGGAATGTTCCCATTGGGTAGTTTGGGCATTAATAAGAGTAAACTTGGAGTGAAGACAGGAATGGTGGCATAGAATGACGTATCTTTGTTGTCTTCTACTAGTTTATCAATGGTCCTTCTAAGTGCTAACATTTCCTTTTCTTGCTCAGATATTTTTGCTTTCAGGCAGGCTATCTCTTTCTGGTGTTCCTCAGTAAGTCTTGTACACATTTTTTCGACTCTTTCCTGAAGTACTTTCATCTGAACTTCAACCGGGAGCTTAGAGCAGGTCTCCCTCTCGTGATCGTTCAAACTACTCCTCATCATCTTCTGACCGCACCCATGACAGCACTCAACCTCAACGTAAAGACACCCTCCCTGTTTTGACGGACTGATGTGCTTATCAAGGTCTCTCAACTCTCCAGTCCAGCCACACCCACTAGCAGTATAAGGACAGTAAACTGTTAAATCAAAGATGAGTCTCTCCATTTCTTTATCGAGCAACGTGAAGTAATCACTATGACGACACTTGGGACAAGGATTAGCTTTACTCTTAACCTATGCAACAAAAACAGTGCAATAATAATAATGATAAATATATTTTCTTACTCCTTCAATGCAACTCTGACATATTTTGACCCCACAGCAGGAGAGAAGATGAGGGGCCCTCAGTGTTAATAAGCACACGGGACACTCCCAATG